CGTGAGGAAGACGCTACAGCCTTACCGAAGCTTCCATTTTCTTGGGTCAAAGACTGGTGACGCAGGCTTGGACGAAATTAGTAGACGGCAGGACTGTGATGCACTTCCCTTGTCATTCGGAGATATGGGTGTGAAAAAATAAGTATTCAAAATAGGGCGCAGAGCGCTCAAGAAGGCTTTCGGTGGGCGTTAAATGTCACCCTGCAAGAATGTCTGGTGTCCCACTGCGACAGCCGGAAGAAGCCGTGTGAGGTTAAAAGCTGGTGCGTCGATCTCCGTGAAGGAGACGATGTTGCATGACCATGGTCTTGATGCACTCCACGTACTGAGCCGGCAGCCAGTAGACGAAGAATCGCGACTTTTTAGTAGGGCCCAGTTGAAAGGACATGATGTGGTACTCGGGGTGCTCCTTTATAGGTTGGCTCCGTACGTCATGGATGGTGGCCAGAGGAACTTTGTGCGTGACACTGTTGGTAGCCAGCCAGAGTTCGCTGGTTTCAGGTTTGAAGCGAAGACGCAGACTCTGGCCGCGTTTGTCATACATGCCGGAAAGAGCCTCACCCGGTGCTAGGAGGTCCTGTGAGTTCATGATGCCAACCATTACGTCATCGGGCATTCCAAAGCGTTCTAAAACACGACGGTGTTCACCTTCCGAGAATAAATCGGAGTCAGAGTCATCAGTAACCGGTCCAGAGGCGGCCTCCGCTGGCTGTGCTGTCTGCTCTGCCTTCCGAACCTGGCACGCAATAAAATATTGACTAGGCTAAATTAAATTATAAGGCAGTGGAGATACACGTATGGTGATTATAATTAAAGTTCAAAACAATTAGATTCGGAGGGACAAATTCAAGTCAGATGCCATTTAGAAGATACAGTATAGGGTTCCTAAAATTTGTCGATAGAAGTGGACTATGTCGTACACTTTGTAGTCAGCAGAAATAAACCAACAGATAAGACGCTACTCGAATAAAAATTGCATGGCCTTAAAAGTCGCGTAATTATAAAACTCATTTGACCAAGTTGTGAAAATCTCGGCGGCCACGGTGGAAGCCGAACCCTCACCAGCTAAGGTAAGGCCTTAGTACATCTAACGCTCTAGCCAGCTGAGCTACGAGACCCTAGCTACTGACTGCCCAAGCATACGTTGCAGTAGGCTGAGTGAGTAGATTGACCCAAGTGCGATGAAACACGCAGCTCCCGATGGGGACCACGTAGTTCAGTTGGCTAGAATGTTGGCTCTGCTAAAGCCTTCCGCTTGCTGGCATGGATTCGAATAGCACCGAGGACGTCGGGTTTTTCACAACTGGATCAAATAAATTATTCGAACGGGATGAAACCCCTACTAATTATAAACTGCTGCGTCTGAAATACTTTGAGATTATGCTGCAAGATAATAAATACCACAAACTCATTTGAGTAATCCTACCCAAAAGAAAATTTGAGTATGGGTTTCAGTTAACATTTCATGAGATTGGTTATTAACAGTACAGTCAGGGGCATTATTAACAGTCAAAAATCATGGCATCTAACTCAAAGTGGCTGATGGAGTAGAAACCTTCAAGTCTTTGACCTCCTCAAACACCCACAGGGCAACATGAAAAGCGTAAATATTGCCAAAGGCATCTTTGCCCGACTGGTAGTACTTAGAAACAGAGGCTCAGCAGGCAAAATCTATGCCAGGTCCTTTCGGTCTTCCTACGCTCCGTACTAGTTTACTACAGAAGAGCCTAACAGGCCTACTCGAAAAATCCTGCAAAGATAGAGTTCTAAGAGCCAGATTGTGTTGTGTCCTTCAGCAGCCTCTGAAGGATCCTGCGAGGTCCATCACAGTAAAAAGAAAAATGGCATAATCACCAATCGGGCTAACTAAATGGGCAGAAAATTGTCCAAGCACGAGGCCGCGCAGGGTCGTGTGGTACCTAAAGAGGAATAAACATTTGGATGAAACGGATAACCATCCGTTAACCTAGCTGCTGGTTACCTGGAGAGTATAACGGCCTTCAGCGAAGGTTAGCTGCGAAATAATCAGGCTTCTGGGTCTAACGAATAAGCAGTCGCGGACCAGCAGCGGCAGTGCTACGAGGGCGCGGAGGGCTGAGCTCTGGTGCCCTACAAAATGGCGCAAGTTCCAGCGACGGCACTGTAACATGGTGACCGTCAAACGCTATTAAATAAGTTTGCTTGCCAACGCTACCTTATGGTTAGGTTTTTGAGCCAACGTTGTAGAGGAGATAACCTCGAACAAACATGTATTCCAATTCTCCAAGAACCCTCTTAAAATGTAAGCTTACCGTGGTGCGATCCAAATTACGGCGTCTGTGGGAACCGACGCGTCCCGAAACCCTTGCCCAGTGATGCGAGTGAATAGTATGCAAGTTGAACCACGCAATAGGGAAAGGAATCTTGGCAGTGGATGCCAGAATGTGCGAAAACTTCTGGAACCTGGTACCGAAAGTCTGACGGCGCGCATCCTTCATAAATACCAAGTGGATGTTTGCTGCCTGTCCGATGTGCGAATCCTCGATTCAGGCGCCCGGGAAATAAAAATCATGGGAGTTAATTCCCATCCTGTATCACGGTTGCCCATGTGACTCTTCTGGTAGACACGGTGTGACTATTGCCCTCTCATAACAGGCATACTGTGTATTACTGATATGGGAACCAGTCAATGACCGGATGGCTTACGTTTTACGAAAGGGTCACTTTAGGAAGATATCTGTCGTCTCTGTGTATGCACCAACATCAGCTGCCGAACAGTAACATAAGGAGAACTTGTACTTGCATCTACAGGAGCTGGCTGAAAGACTTCCTCATCGTGATCTGTTGATTGTTGCCGGGGGCTGAAATGGCCGCACTGGACCCAGTGACTCGTCAGTCACCTTATTGGTCGGTTTGGGCTTGGTGGGACATCTGGTGAGACAATGCTGCATTTCGCTGATCAGAACTGACTGTTTGTTACCAACAAATGCCTTAAGCATGGTCATTAGCATCTACTGACCTGCTATTCAAACGATGGCTGTACCGCCAGACAGACCGATTACATTCTAGTTGGTTCAAGGTTCTGCAGTTGAGTCAGCGATAACAGGTCGATGCATGGTACCGAAACTGGTGTGTGAGTTTGACCATCGATTTCGATGAAGTCCACCATGTACCCAAGAGCAGAGATAGTGACTGGAGACAGAGACGAGATTTAAGTGAAACAGACGCGCAACTGTCTACCTCACACTGAACCCTCTCCCCGCTTGAACCGGTGACAAGACCAAAGTCAAGATGGGCGAGCAGGAATCGGGCGTAAGCCGCTTTCTCCAATGCAGCCAGAAACACCGCCTAACTTAACCTTAAGTGATAGTAGATTTTGCGCGGGTACTACTGCACTCTCTACTCTCAATCACTTATAGTAGGTGTCGAGCCAGACTCTAAGAAGCCAAGGCTCGTAATGCTACCACCACTACTGCTATTTCTAATACTACTAACCAGGGTGTAGCTGAGTGATAGTATTTGCTGGTACTATTTCTGACTGCATCGCTAGTCAGAAGTGATTAAAGTGATTAAAGTCAACACTGGGCTCATATCCCCTCGATCTCAACAAACTGGTAACGCCCACGGATGTGACCATGTTCTCGTTCGCACACGCCTGAAGGTTTACCTGTCATTTGCGCCCAAAATTCTACGTGCGAGACGCCCGAATTTAGAAAAAATCTGGCAACCCAACACTAAAGAGGCCCTACGCACACAAATCCGGTCCTGTGTTACGACTCAAGCCGACGGCAGTAGCAAATGGTCATCCCTGAAAACATCTGTCCACGGGGCAGCTGAGAAAATACTTGCATTCACTCAACGGTGCCGCAATGACTGGATCAGCGGAAAAACGCTGCAGCTGTC